TTATTGTCAATGCTATTATTTCAGAGATATCAGGTGTGTGATTTCTAGTTTCCTCTATGCTAGTGTCTTCTGCATTTGTACTGGGTGGACTCGGGACCTGAGACTGCATTTTGTTCCTTCTCTTTGTCATTTTGTATACCACTGTCTTCTGACCTTTGGTGTAGAGCTTAGATAGAGTTAATACCTTAGCACCAGATCCGGATCTATGAAGTTCAGATTCCTCCAGGTGGGTGTTGCTTGGATCTAGCTGGGGTCTTGCTGCTGTGCTCCACTTCTTTCTGCTGCATTCGTTGGAGTTGAACCCTTTGTGTCACTCTGGCAAGATGTTCTGCTCCTGAATCAGCTGGGTGGGTCTTGCCTCCAACCTCTTTGCAGGGAGTTTTGCTGAAGGGTTCCACAATGGGCCTGCACTCTGGATTGAATGAGGTTTCAGTGGGTCCCAGGCAGTCTCACTCACTCACCGGGCCTGGGCCTTGGGTGTATTCAGGATCCATCAGTCCTGGGTAACTCGCCAGGCCTGCACTCTGGGTCTGTTCAGGATCCTGCAGCCCCGGTCGGTCTCACTCACATGCGGGGCCTGCACTCTGGGCCTGGGCTCCATGTGTACTCAGGATCCGCAGGCCCCTGGTCGTCTCACCTCATGCGCAGGGCCTGCGCTCTGGGTCTATTCAGGATCCGCGGGCTCTCGGTTGTCTCCTCAAATTCACATTTTACAGTAATAGAGTGAGTCAGTAAAATTAAAATTATTGACTTATATTTTCTATATCAAAATACAAAACTAAAGAAAGTTCATAAAACATTGCAGGTAAAATGATGAAAGGGAATGAGAAAGAGGGTAGCAACAAAGGCTAAAGGACAACACAGAAAATGTTTTTAAGAGAGCTGAAGGAAAGAAAAGTGGAAAGACATGAATGAATCAGTAGAAAGTACAAAAACCAAACTTAACGATCACTTAAAGCATTTTGTTAGTTTGTTAGTGGAGGAGAAAAGAAGTTAGTTCTAAAAGCTTTTAAAATAAATGATGACTTCCAATCATATCTTTAGATGGGTAGAGTTGCACGGATCATGTGTTGACGTCCCCAAGGACAACACTATCTATGGAGAGTCGTCGCATACACATTTGACAGTGACCTCCACTGCATGGCCACAAATGACACGAAGTTGCAAAGTGAGTCCTACTAACACTATTCCCACAGCTTGTGCCACCCGTTTAGCTGTGGCTATGAAAACTCTAGGTGTATCATTGGAAAAATAACTCTTATAAGAGCACTGTACACAATGTACAAATGTCAGATCTCACAGTTAACACTGGAATCTGCTCATACTTAACATCTCTCACCTCCTCCCTGCATGATTGATTAGCCCAGGATAGCAATATTTACTTCAGTAGAAGAGTAAAAATAGCAATTTAAGCTAACAAAGAGGTTTGTTTATGCTGACCAATCCACACTGGACCACAGGAGCAAAAATCACACACACTGCCCTGCTTTATGTTTGACAGAATGAATTTACAATGCATAATCTATAATAAGCACATTATAACTATAGTTTACTAATAAACTCTATATTTAATTTTAAAATTTGCCTCTTTAAAAACAATGGGGTGGGGGGCCGGGGAGATGGCTCAGTGGAATAAGTGCTTCCCTGGTAAGCGCAAGGGCCTGAGTTCAATCCCCGGTTCCACAAAAAAAAAAAAACAAATAAATAAATAAAAAACAATTGGATGACTCATCTATTGAAATATTTCTCTGATAATAATCACAGTTCATCTCCCCTGAGATAAAATCAGTCTTATTAACGACTAATCAAAGCTATGACACGAAGGCTTTGTTCTCGTAAATGTGGCATCTTTCTGTAGGGCCATCACAGTTCCAGATTTTCTGTTTTCTGCTGACTGTTGTATCAACTGCAATCCAATTGTACTTCTGCTGCTGTCTAACCCTACTTTCCTCCTTTCATTGTATTTGTTAATCCCCAAAACACTTCCCACTAAACTCCTTGCACATGAATGTCTCTGCAATTGCTTTCCAGAAACACTAAGCATCACTATTAAACTTCATGTAGTGACATTTCTTTATAAAATTAGTACAGTTCATGTAAACTTCTGATAATGATATTTGAAGTCATTAGTTTAGCCGTATGTGAATGTTCATTCATTGTCACAAATCCTCAAGACTAACACATAGCAAATGGGCAGAAGACATGACATTAGATATATACTCCTGTGAAACAAACATCCTCAATTGGTTGGGGTGCATTCCAAGCCTCTCACCTAGCATGAGTCCAGAGGGTGGCTTGGTAAATCTTCTGGCCTTTGGAGGCTCATTCATATGGTTGCACATAACTGGCAGGTCACCCAGAATCTGGGCTCTGGCTGTGATGGCTGGACTTCTCTTTTCACATACAATGAGAAATATGAACTGGAATTCTTTACATAATGATCTCAAAACAATACTGGCAAATGGTAATCTCTATGGACCAAATGTGTATTTTTCTAATATCCATGTTATCTTTGCTTGTTCATTTCTAGTTGTTTTCCTCATGACCAAATATTATGTAGTTATTTTAATTCTTTTAAATAGTTACTGGTATAAGTTTCCCATCTACAATGAACATATTCTGCAGGAATCATATACACATGCTCTTCACAAATGTCACTAAAAATAACTGTTGCCTGTACACACTCACATCTTCATCCCTCACATTTCTCTGCAGCACAGAGCCAGAGCCTGGAAGCACAATGTGATGTCATTACATGGACCGTCCTCCCTCTTAATGCCAGTGATAGCCTGAGCTGTTTTCCCAATGACAGGAACATACATGTCTAGAACAGACAGCGCAGGGCCTTCTCTATCTTCTTTTCCAGCAGCACACACATGAAAAGACAGAAAACTATTTTAATGGAGAACAGTTTTAGAAATAATGTGTAAGTTAGAATACTGTTTTCTGATGAAAACACTAAAAAAGTAAAAGCTTTTTTTTTAACATTGCAAAATAAAAAACTTTTTTGCTGATTCTCAGCTCTGAGATTATCTAAAGCAATGCAGGAGTGATAAACACAAAATGACATTTAAAATGCCGTATTTTTTATTTTCAAGCCATACAGCCTGAAGCAGAAAATATCTTAAAGATTCTGCACATAATCTAATATATTCCTAGTGGGAATGAAATGTATGCAACTACCCTCTACTTACTGAAAGATCGAACAAATTAATTTATATAGTAGATGCCAGAATTGATTTATTAAATATAAGAATTAGGAGACTTAAAGCTTTCTCTTTACTAGATTATATTGTAAAATAGATTATAAAATAATAATGCTTAAGATTTGGTCATTGAAAAGTTCCAAAGTAACACATATTCGGGAATATTAACATGAACATTATTGTTCTTAATTATACTGACTGTTAAAATATAGTAAACATACGAACATATCACTTAATTAAGAAATACAAGAGGGGGGCTGGAGAGATGGCTCAGTGGTCTAAAGCACCTACTTGGAACAAGCTTGGCAAAGCACAGGGACCGCGGTTCAATCCCCCAGCACCACATGCCAGC